ACTGTGTTATATATGTTTTTAAAAAAAATTATGGAGCAACCCTCGTACGCAAGTATTTTTTACAGAATATACTTCAAATAGATGAAAACATCGCAAGTATGCCGCATATATACGGAGTTAACTATATAACTAATATTATTTGAAAATAATCTTCCATATATTCGTAACTTATTATATTCGATATTTTCCCCTGGAGTTAGTGTAAATATAGTTGTCTTATATACAATCATTGTAAAATGGTTTTGCGTGTCTAGATCAAGTGTGATAGGTATTTTCTTTCTCAGGATGAGATTATGTATTCTTTCTCTGTTCGAGTGTCTATGGTCACATCGCTTGAGTTTGAGATCATTCAGATAGAGGTAGAATTGAATGTCCGAGAATGAATGTGAGTCTTCTCTGACAGTCAGCATTTTTGTATGGCGGTGTTACATTTCAATAAACTCTCACGAGAAGACTCACATTCATTCTCGGACAATCAATTAGAACTAGACTATAAATGACTTGTTTAGCTTTTTTGTCGTCTATATATCGCATTCAAACTAGATATATGTTTCCAATCTGCATAATTATTATGCAAAATATTCAATAGATTGTTATGGCTTACGCTATATCAATGAAAAAAATATCATGATCGCCATAATATCTATAGCCATTTTGAATAAATTCGGTTTCAGTAGTCGTAAGTTCGTAACTTACTGTTTTATATCAGTGATAAATGCTAGGGGAAGACACGAAGTTTTACTATATTAAAGCAAACAACAGCAGTGCTGTTCTTTATGCGAAGTATTTGAATGCCAATACTTTTCTTTTGAAGGAACTAACGGTACATTTTTGTAAACGAAATATTTGTGATCAATAAGAATTAAACAATGAATTCTATTTATATTAAATGAAACCAGGCACACTAGAAACTGTTGTCTACCCCTAGGATTAATATTACACCTAAATCTTAGGGATGACCCTGACTGTAGACTTTGTGGTGATGAAGTGGAAACAACATCCCATCTTGTCGTACCGAAATTATGCCCAAACTGTGACACTGCTAGCGCCACGACGGAATTCAATGTAATCTACACTAAGTTGCCGCCAAATAGTGAAAAGACTTTTGCTCAGTTGCAACCAACGGACTAGAACTCCATAGTTGTCCGTAGTGGCGCTAGCAGTGCTACAGTTTTGCATTTTATACAGTCTCTTATGGAGCATAATTTCTGTGTGCATCTTGTAGACAGATGTTTGAGGCTGAATGATATAGGAGAAAGGTTCACTGGATGAAGATCCTACCAGATGATCCATGCACTAAATGTTTTCAGCCTGGTACAGTTTTTTATGCGGGCTTATGAATAAAATCCATGTCTCGTACATATTTTTGGATAAAGACTATTTTCGTGTACAGCAGTACACACACGGGCGTCTTGCAGTAGGTTATGAAACCTGAGCAACGAGTTTACTAGCATTCAATTAGAAGCAGTTCACTCCCCGTTCAAATCCAATAATCCAATAATCCAAATATTACACCTCATGGGTTGGAATGAGTCATTACTCTATGCCAAAATTAAATGAAATTCAAAGCAATTTTATAACATATTTCCGCAATTGACATTCCATGCATTGCCTTCGTCACTTAACTGTGATTTTTTTCTAAATCATAACATGAATTTCTTTACCTTCTGAACGATCTATTATAGAGAGCCAAAGAGAGTCGCGTTCTTTAGCAAATTTTTGCCATCAGTGAGAGAAAGACAATTGACCTTAGCCCAAATCGAAAATTATGACTATCTTTTCTCACGAATTGAGTTTTGATTAACAAAAACCGGTATTTATCGTCATGTTATGTTATATAATTTGGATCGTGTTCCCCTGTTGATTGATTTTTCTTATCAATAACTGGAATTTATAAAATGTTATTGTAGTTCAAATAGCCAGACTAAATTGGTAAAAGGAAGCGGATAAAAGTTTCTTTTTAGTATTTCATTTGTTACCTCTGTTCGATAAAGACGCAGACATTTTTGTCAAAAATAGTTAGTTGGATTGACGGGAATCGATTTTTTGTCGTTCCCAAACAGTTTTATTCGGTGTGTTTTTAAGCAGAATGTGCCAAACTAAAGATCTCCAACGAGTGGAAAATGGTGCGATTCAGTTAAAACAGAAACACACTTTTGAAGGAATATAAGCAAATTTTTTAAATTATTTTTACTTGTTTAAAAGGTGCCGGTGAAGCTAATATTCGACCCAAAACACTGGATGATACAGTACCAACGAAAAATGGATTTTATATGGATGAAGCCATTTCAAAAACTAGTAAGTGCCAAGTGAGGTAGATGAAAATTGAAGGGAAAATATATTTAAACAAAAATGAGAGTTTCAACTAATTTAAAACGTTTTTGTGTCTTTTTTCAAAATAGAGTTCGGTGTCTTTAACTATGTTATAATTTTTCTTGGTGGATTAATATTGTTTGCAGTATTGGTGGAAACAACTGGTACTTCATTTATATTTTTGGTTTCTCAGTGTGATTTAAATTTGACTGTTGGTGAAAAAGGCATATTGGGTGCTGTGTCCTTCATTGGCATAATTTGTTCATCTCATTTAATGGGATATTTGTCTGATACTAAAGGACGACGTAAAGTCATTCTACCCACATTATTCATAGCTTTCCTTCTGTCCATCGCTTCATCACTTGTTCACAACTTTTACCTTTTGGCTACGTTGCGGTTTCTTAATGGATTTTTGTAAGTTGGAATTCTAATACGCTTTCAAACTAAAATGTGTTGCACAATCATTACATTAAAATTGTAATCGTTTATTAAATGCCAGAAAATGTGAGATCGCAAAAGATGAACTCAACTTCACAAAAAATCACATGTTTAATCAAAATTATTTTACATCATAACAATTAGCATATCAGGCGCATCTGCAACTATATACGCGTACTTGGGTGAATTTCACAATAGTTTACACAGGAGTCGCGCCATCATGGCATCTACGGTAATATATGGTATTTCGTGTCCACTTTTACCTGTAATCGCCGGACTAGTTATCAATCACGATTGGAAATTTTACATTCCACTCATCGGCATTACATACAAACCGTGGCGACTATATTTGGTTGTGTGCGGTTTACCAGGATTTCTTGCTGCTTTGATCACGCTATTTCTGCCAGAGAGTCCGAAATTCGTGCTCGGTCAAGGTGATAGTGCGAGTGCTTGGAAAATATTACAAAAAATGAATCGCTGGAATAACGGCAGGAAATCAAAACTGGAACAATTCGAAATCTACGAAGAAGAAGAATCGATTGAAAATCGACGCCGTATTTTGAAAGCAAAAGAGAGCCGATTTCCATTGTTGAAGTCTATTTGGAATCAAACAGCACCACTTTTTAAGCCACCGCATTTGTACTCGACCCTTTTGATTTGTACCATTCAATTTGCAATTGGTATTATATGTTTTGGATTTGGCATGTTCTTTGCAGACATTTTGAATAAGATGGCTACAAATATGGATAGTCTTAATCAGCGAATACCCATGTGTGATCTCATTAATAAGAAACCGCTCAATATGAGCGCATTCAACCAAAACGAAACTATTTGCAATGATGTACGTTAATTATGTTAACAAAGCTCGAAGAAATCTCTAAAAATCCAATTAATTTTACAAAATAGGTTTGCATCACGAAGATCAAGCTGGAAACATTGGAAAACGGAATCATTCTAGAAGTATTTTTCGCCATAGGATGTGCTATTATTAGCTTGATCATCAACAAAGTCGGGAAGTTTCCAATTCTGCGTATGTAACCCAAAAATTTGAAATAATTATAAATTAAGTTGAATTGAAAGAAAAGCCGCCCATTTCATTTTTTTATTAATTTTTCCCAACGTTAGTTATCATTTCGATTGTTTGTGGTGGTTGCGGAATTATGTGCATGCTGACCAATATTTTATTCGTACAGACATACTCATTCGTTCTACTTATGTGCGCTGGGTGGGGCATGAATGTGATTAATGCAGCTACGGTTGAAATTTATCCAACCGCTTTAAGGTACACGTATGTGTTTTCGACCCTTTTGCACTTTGGTTGATTAGTTTATTTCTCTTTTTATAGAGCGATGGCTATTTGTATTTCTTTGATGTTTGGTAGATTGGGAGGCGTTTTTGGGGCAAACATAATGGCTCACTTTATAGGAAGTCATTGTGAAATGGTTTTCTATTTGTCTGGATCAAGCATGATAGGTGATTTTATAATCAATAAATTTTGACCCGTTTCTATAAGTTATTTTAAAATTGAAAATATTTCATATTTTGTACAGCTGTGGGCCTATTCGCATTTTTCATTCCGCATATCCATGAAAGAGTCAAGAAAGTGGATTCATAATTTTTACGTAACAATGACATTGAATGTGTAAACAACTTCCTTTGGCTAATTTTCGAACGTTAAAAACAAATAATAGATAATGTAATAGATAATGTAATGTTACCTTAATTTATGCAATAAAAAGTTTCTAGTCAGTATACATACAATAAAACATTTTTTTATTGAAAATAAATCTCAATTCATCGATTGTGTTTGAAAATGTGTATAATATAAGAGCACATTTGCAATTTAATCATTTACGACTCATGATTTGATGAGAAGGTATTATTTGAGACTTGAACTTCGGAATTATGTTCGCATTGGCAGTTAAATTTCAAAGTTTTTTTTCGTACTAGTAATGTTTACTACTCTCATATCGTCAGGCATACTGTACTAATAGTGTTATATACTGATTGCGCTTTATGCCAGGTGCTATAAGAACAGTTCAAGGTCCTTGTAAATAAACAATTGAATTTTGTACCTATTTATAGGCTTTAATTCTATTTATATCACTGGTGCCAAGCATATCAACACTTGAGAATTCATTTTTACAAAAACGGCACCCAGTGATTTTGCTGGAGTATCTATATAGTATAATGAAGCACAAGTTCACGCTTGCTATTTTGTTTCAGGGACCGGGTCGCATATAGAATTATACAAGATTTTTATAGTTTGTATAAACGCAGATGCAACATATCCGTCGCGTTCGCTTTGTGCTGCGCTCAATAAATACAATGTATGTACGTGCGTCTCTCAATGGTCACATGCACACACGAACATGTATTCGTATGCTTCATACATAACGAACAGCGATGGATATGTTGCGTCTGTGTTTATACTTGTATATTTAAACTGCCTGCGTTTTTTATGCTACTATAAAATTATACGCGACCCGGTCCCTGCTTCGTTTACTTGTCTAGATCAATGCACTTGTTTTTAAAATTACGTTACATGCGTATTTCTGTCCCTTTGTCGTCAAGTAAACAGGAATTTCATCATATTTGATTCAGGGCAAATGTTTCGTCTTTCTGCCGTAGACTCGTTTATTAATAATATTAACTGTTGATAAAAAAAACTATGTTCCATTCAAGGTTCCATTAGTTATTCTACTTACAAGTCTAGTTAACTGCATACAAAATGAGAAACGAATGTTTAAAATACCAACCATTGCCAAAGAGCAATGTGAACAGAGCATGGCGAATTTCACTAAATTCACTGAACTCATAAACGAAAGTGAAATGTTCGCCTTATATTTACTTTTCAATTTAATTAGCCATTATATTTTTCTCAATTACTCATCGTACCAAAGAATGAGCACGTAGTTTAGTAAATTTATTTGATAAATATTTACATTGGCGGCTTGACGTAACAATTTAATTTGCTGCCTAATTGAGACGTTTACATTATAATTTTGAAAGCATCATACAAAAATCGAATCAAAAATGGAAATGAGCCGGTTGCAAAATATCTAAGTCGCATGATTAGCATGATTCGCAAATTATAGCCATCTTTTTTTCTCGCACGTAATCCAAATTGATTTTCGATTAACAAAAACCGCTATTCGTCGTCATATTATTATCTTATGTAAATTGAATGGCGAAAACCATCGGACCAAATTCTAATTGAAATTTGATGTGAAGCATTTTGTATTCAATGAATGAAAACAAATGGAATACGAGAAAAAAAACTTAATTGATATTTTTTTGATTAAATAATATGAGTTATGGGTTCGTGCGCTATTGGTTTGATCACTCTGTTAATTCGTCTGGATGCTTTTTCTACTAATTTCTAACTGAACGCGGCTAATCCATCGTTAGAAAACTGTAATCTCGTGTAGCGCACATGATTGTTGTTGAGATGGCATTTTTTTGGATCATAGTTTGTTAATTTTGTTTTTGGTCTTTTTTGAGTCCAAAAATATTTAAACATTTGCATTGCAGCCGACTGATTATCTTATCAATAACTGGAAATGAATGTCATTTATTTCTAATGATCATAAATAAAACCACATTTTTTTGTATTATCGGCGCATATAAATAGAAGTGGCGAAAAACGTATTCCGGTATTTCATTTGTTACTTCTGCTTGACAAAGACAGATATTTTTTAGGAATTTCTTTCACCATTTGAGTTCAGATTTCAAGGAATCGCTTTTTGTCGTTCCTGAAGAAATTGATTTAAAAGGAATACAATGTGCCAAATTACAGACATTCAACAAGCGGAAAATGGTGCGATTCAGTGTGAAAAAAAAAATATTTTTACGAATTGAGAAATTTTTTTAACTATTTTTATTTGATGGAAAGGTCGCAAAGACTCGGATGTTCGACCAAAAATACGAGATGATTTGTCAGTAGAGAAAAATGGATTTTTTATGGATGAAGCTATTTCGAAAGCGAGTAAGTGAACACAGTGTAAAGTGAATAAAATAATCAAAGGAGAAATAAAAGAATTAATCGAATTTATTTCTAATTTTTAAATTAGAATTTGGCTTCTTCAATTATGTCACAATTTTCCTTAGTGGATTAATATTGAATGCAGTATTGGTGGAAACATGTGGCATTTCATTTATAATTCCGGTTTCGCAGTGTGATTTAAATTTAACAGCTGGTGAAAAGGGTATTTTAAGCGCCGTTTGCTTTTTTGGAATAATTTGCTCGAGCCACTTATGGGGCTATCTTGCCGACACCAAAGGACGGCGCAAAGTCATTCTGCCCACATTATTCATAGCTTTTCTCTTGTCTGTTGCTTCGTCGCTCGTACAAAACTTTTATTTTTTTGCAACGTTGCGATTCCTCAATGGATTTTTGTAAGTAAATTTTAAATTTTGTTTAAATTAAAAATAGAGTCAACAATTAATTTTAAATTGGTATTTTTGATTGAAAATGTAATTTTTTTACATCAATCTACTTAAATTATGTTATTAATGCCATGTGACCTCATTACTATAATAAAAGTATTTACAAATGAATTATCATTTTTTCTGCTTCGTCATCAGCATATCCGGATCATCAGCAACAATTTACGCGTATTTGGGTGAGTTTCACAATAATGCGCAGCGAAGTCGTGCAATTATGTGTTCGGCAGTGATATTTGGAATTTCGTGTTTTCTATTGCCACTAATTGCCTGGCTTGTTGTCAATCAAGAGTGGGAATTCGACATTCCGCTCATCGGCATTACATATAAACCATGGCGATTTTTCCTGGTTGTATGCGGTATACCGGGATTACTATCGTCGGTGATATTGCTCTTTTTGCCAGAGAGCCCGAAGTTCGTTCTCGGCCAGGGTGATAGTAAAGGTGCTTGGAAAATTTTAGAAAAAATGAATCGCTGGAATAGCGGCAAGAAATCACAACTTGAACCATTCGAAATCTACGAAGAGGAAGAGTCTATTGAAAATCGACGCCGGATTTTGGAGGCCAAAAATAGCCGATTTCCATTGATGAAGTCGATTTGGATACAAACAGCTCCACTGTTCAAACCTCCACATTTGAGACCGACAATTTTGATTTGCACCATTCAATTTGGACTTTATGCAACTTGCAATGGATTTTATATGTTTTTCGCTGACATCTTGAACACGATGGCCACAAATTTGGATGGTTTGGACAATCAGCGAATAAGCATGTGTAGTATAATCAATATGGAATTTGAAAACTTTACCGAATATGAAATCTTTGATTTTCTAGAAGATGAGGTAATTCGATTATTTTGGTGTAAGCACTTTAATTTCATTTTTTTTGTGTCGATAGGTTTGTATAACAAAACTTGAACTGGCTACATTGGAACAAGGAGTGACATTGGAAATTTTATTTGCCATAGGACTTACAATTATTGGACTTCTTATCAATGTTATTGGCAAATTCCCCATATTAAGTATGTTAAATTACCGAAATTTAAGCGATGATTACACCGATAAAATTTATTTTTCACGAAACTAGTTATTACAACGATGATGAGCGGCTTGAGTGGCATGTTATGTATGCTAATTGATAATCCGACGATACAAATATATTGCTTCATTCTGCTCATGTGTTGTGGTTGGGGTGTTAATATTGTCAATGATTCTACGGTTGAAATTTATCCAACGTCCTTGAGGTACATTCTATTTGAAAATAAAAAAAAACCGTTTTTGTGCAAAATTATGGTTTTTCTTCGAATCTGTTAGAGCGATGGCGATTTGCATTTCTTTGATGTTTGGCCGATTGGGAAGTGTGTTTGGTGCTAACATAGCAGCACTTTTATTGGAAAATCATTGTGAAACCGTTTTTTATTTGTCGGGATCAAGTGTTATTGGTAACTTTAAATAATCATGGAATTCAGAGACGATTTCCTTCTTGAACATGAACATCATTTCTTTTTGGTTTTTATCAATAGTGATGGGAGTGCTAACTTTTTTCATTCCACGGATACATGAAAAGGTCAAGACACGCGAAGTTGAACCACGGATAAGTATAATATCATTCAGATGAACTAGTTCAAAGGCCATACAGACGACAGACACAGACATTTAAAATATAACTTGAGTTCTCAAGTTAGAATTAGACATCGAAATCTAATTAATGTATTTTTTCCATTTTTAAGGATAATAAAATAATTGATAAAGTTTTGTCTTGTATAAATTTATATCATAATAGAATAAAAGAAGCCTTTCATTCGCCACCTTAACAGTAATGTCCATGAAATAGACACATTTCAAAACGTCAAAGTTTGCTCCGGACACGTTTCATCAATGAAGTAGGTATTCTTTACTGAAACTCAAAAAGCTTGAAAAAATAAGAAAAATTAGGACCTATTAAATATTAAACCAATCTCGATCAATATTTTTATACTGGGCTGCCATTGATGTTCAAAATAATAATGATAACCATTGGCATCTTTAGACGAGTTTATTTACATATTTTCACACTCGTCAATAAATGTGAGGTTACGACTGATGGCAGTGTAATTCGAATGAAACAAAAATAACGACTCTCACAACATCTGTTTTGAACTGCAAAACATAAAGTTGGATTTAAATGAGAATAATCATGCTATGATTTGGTGTCTAAGACATCTCTTTCAATTACATGGCTTTCATGCCTACGAATGGAGCACTATTGTTTGTAAGCTCTTTCAATTTCAAGAGAGAAGAGATTTTCCAGCGTGTGAACCTACCTCTCGTCACATGATACCGATCTTTCAAAGCGTATTTCAAAACGAAAGAAAAGCAGCAAAAAATAAGACCAGATAAGTTTTCCATAATTGCCATGTGGTTGAATTCCATCGAGTGAAAAGTAACCGATACTCACCTCTTTAAATCCAACAATCAAAGCACTGATATCAAATGAGAAGTGAGATGTATCCAAACTAAAAAAAGGACAGCAAAATTCGAGTCAAACAAAACCAAGTCAATGCACAAGAGTCAAGTACTCTGAATGAGTTACACACGTTCGCACTTTTTTTTATCCATTAGAATTTATTCAAATTGTTTGCAATATTTGAATCGCAATAGTTCACACCTCGCGATACGTAATCGAATACAATCGAAATTGTAAAAGAAGCAACAAAGCAATGTTTTCGTACGTGAAAAAGATTGAATAAATTGGCTTAAAGACGACGACCACGGCGACCACCCTTTCGGCGTGTTGAATCAGATGGAACTGGTGTAACATCTTCGATGCGGCCAATTTTCATCGATGAACGAGCCAATGCGCGCAATGCTGATTGAGCACCTGGTCCTGGTGTCTTTGTTCTGTTACCACCAGTAGCACGGAGTTTGATGTGCAATGCAGTGATTCCAAGTGATTTGCATTTTTCGGCTACATCCTGAATGAACAAGAAAAAATGAACAAAAAAAACGTTAAAACGTGAACGATAACATTGATTTAAAATGCACATGACACATGACAAATACGTACTTGAGCAGCCAACATAGCAGCGTATGGTGAAGCTTCATCACGATCAGCTTTCACTTTCATGCCACCAGTGACACGGGCAATTGTTTCACGTCCAGACAAATCGGTTACATGTACGAATGTATCGTTGAAACTGGCGTAAATGTGAGCAACACCAAAGACTACTTCACCTTCACGAACTTGTGGTCCAAGTGAAACTTGAACTTCTTCTTTCTGAACTTTATTCTTTCTTGGTGCCATTTTTGCTGGATATTCTATACTGCCAATAAAATAATGGAAACACACAAAAGAAAAACAATTAGTTTCGATTGAATAATCACGTTTCTTTCAAATTTTTGTCGAAGCAAAAGAAAAAGGTTAGCTTCACAATGTGGACACAAAATGTCAAAACACCGCGACTTGTTCGCTTGCACGTATGTTACGTCGGATGATATCAAATTGAAAATTTTCATCAACAATCATCTGGTATTTAATTTGTAAATTTTTACGAAACTTCAACGATTTCGAATGTAATTTTATCTAAATAATTGATTTCTAAAAAAATTTCAGTGAATTCACTTGAAAATTGGAAAAAATTGCACAAAATATACTCGTACCACAAAAAATTGCTGCTGTTTCTTATTGAACGGGAAACATAAAAGAATTTTGACAGGTCGACCTGTGCGCAGCCAACTTCAGTTTGGTTGAAACACATATGATGGCTGCCATGTACTGTCACTCTCCAGCACGAGTGCGTCCGATATTCGAACTGATACGAATGGGATATTTTCAATTTAAATAAATTTATGCGGATTTTTTTATTTTCAATGAAATAATTCGAAATTTTTTCATCCGAAATATGGAAAATGCACTTTAGGAAAAATGTTGGCGATAAAATTCATTTAAAAATGTTAATTTGTAGAAATATCCATTTGCATGAACGCATCCCATTTTTACATTCATGTACTTCGAATTGCAATGCGAAATTCCAGGCATTTGACAAGCAAATACACTGATGATCACCACCAAAGCAAAGATTACATTTGTATTGAACATATGAATGAAAAAAGCAAAAAAAAAAATCCCCCGACGGAGAGAGATAGACCGTTCGCCATATTTATATTTGTTGTTTATTCGTCTTTGGTGAGATCTGTGCTTTTTCATTTTTCGATTCGATTGGTTTTTTTTGCTCGATAACAAAATATCGTCAAGTGTAAATTAGTGTGTGAAAAATAAAAAAATGCAAACCAAAACTTAAATAAAAAAATTCTCAATAAATACATGCAGTAATGGACATATAAACGGAGAAAAATCGTATTCATTCATTTTTTGTTCGTCTTGCACGTAGTAGTAGTAGTTGAGAGAAGAAAAAAAGTTACATTTGGATACGTGAAAAGTGTACAAATTCAAAACAAAGAAGACGTTCTTCTTTTTCTTCTTCATTGTGTTTTCATTTTGATTTTTGGTCCCCGTTCGTATCGTCGTGTGTTTTCCGTAGATTTTTGTGAGAGCAAAAAAAATCGAAGAGAGTCACAACAAATAAAAGAGCAAACGATAAAGTTTTAAGTTTCATAAGAGAAAAGGGAAAAAATCCAATTTTTTGGTCATTTTGAGCTGTCCAGCGTAGCCAAATTTGAGCAAAATGTTTAAATAAAAAGATTTACAATGGCTCCATTAGTCTGAAGCGAAAATAAAAAAATATTAATCTCAACACACAGCATCTCACACTTTGCAAATAAAAAAAGAAATTCATTTATTTAAATAATTACGAAGCAAAAAAAAAAAAAAAAAAACAAATACGTGGAGTTTGATCGAGTGAAAAATAAATTGGAGCCCCAAAAAGCGTTTATGAATCGCACGGAAATGTTGTGGCAAATTGTTTAGGAGACATTTATTCATTTTGCATAAATTGGACAGTGGTATGACCTCACAACAGCAACCGAGTAGTCAGCAAAACCAACAACCAGCTGCATCCGACCAAGCACAAGAAGTGGTTCAACCAGAATGGCATGCCGAAGATGGATTCAGTTTCGATGATTCGGATCGATTTGAAGAGGATTCAATATGCAGCTGGAGCTCAGAGCCAGAAAGTTTGTGCAATAATTGGCGCGGATGGAAACGTCCAACGACAAACAGTAATTTTGGAATTGGAGCACTTAAAAAGCATGATGGTGAGTCTTGTGATTACCTTTTTTTATTCAGTTGGTTTTTCGATTTATTTTTTCTTCGCCAAAATATCAAGTACACTTATGTGGTGTTGGGGAAAGTGCTTACGTGTTTAAATATAAATTGCCTATCGCGCGCGCTTCAATTAATCAAACATCGAAATAAATTGTTTCCTTATTCATTTTGAATCTCCTTCGATTGTGTATACGTGTCATTTGGTTGTCGTTGTCGCATTTCAATGAGTTGGAAAATGTTCCCTTGGACCCTCGCTCTCTTCCCCTCTCTCTCCCTCTTGCATTCACATTCATTGGGGTGATGGTAAGAAAATGTAATTATATGGAATAGAGCAAGACATGTACCTGTAAATGGATTGATTCGCTCTGATTCGTTTACACAAAATCGCAATGTGAAAATCATTCAAGTCAACAATAGGTATTTGAAATGAGTTGTACGGGATACATGATGCATGTATATTAGTTTGTATGAGCAACGAAATTACAATCTTTTCCGATTGAAAATTCGATTGTTTTCTACAGTTTTTCCTCTTCATCAAAGATCTGATGATTTTAAAGCCAAAATTAACCATATGCATGCCGAAAGAATGATAAAATGCGTTACATGAAGTAAATTGTGCCCATTTTCTTTATTTCAATTAATTTTTATGACGTAACATCCAACTACCAGCCATTTTCCGATTTTTTATTGATTTGTTGTTCGTCGAATGATCTTGAAAACTAAAGTATGCATTTTCTTTAGATATTCTAAACGGCTAAACCGGAGTACATGTTCCTTTGTTCTTTGTTGTGTGACTTAATTTATCCGTCTACGTTATATGTGTGTCTGTATGTTTGTGTATGTTACATGCTATGCATGTTTGTATGTAAATTGATTTGCTAACATTGTGTTGTGATTGTCGTTTTTTTAAGCGTTATCCCTTTGTCTGCTATATGTTCATCATCATCGGCTCAAAAGATGGATTACATTTTGAAATGCATCGTTTTTATCGGCTGGATTCAAGAGAAACCCGTGTAAGGAAAAAAAGTGAACGCTCTTCAACACAAATACAAACCAAAATAATTGTAGTTGCGTTGGTCTGTCTGTTTTTTTTCTTTTTGTTGTTGTGTATATATTTTATGTGTTGGCATCGTTGTGTTTATATACATCCAATCGCTATTGATGTTCCTTATTATATGTTATTTTTTGTCCCGTTGCTGCTGCTGCTGCTGCTGCTTTTTAACCCACCACGAATGAGACGTTCGAAAAATGAACTTACTACTTGTTCTCGGTCGTCTTGTCGATGCTTTGCCTTTTCATCCATTCTTCTTTATTTCAAGTTTTCAATCTTTATGCCATCCTTTTACCGTGAATCCATTGCACATAATGGATTTCTACTTTGTACACATGTACTTGTGTGTATCTGTGCACAGGCACTCTCGCTTACAGTCGTGAAACAACAACAGAAGAAGCAGTACAACTAAAAACAACAACAACAGCAGCAGATGAAGAAGAAGAAGAGAAAAAAAAAATCAACAATAAGGTTTATATATCATTATGGCACAATGCTTCGTTATTTGCCTTCGACATCGACATGCTTATGCGTACACCGTGCACACATTTTACACACATGGTTTGAATCTTGTTGTGTCGCTTGGCTGCAATTACTAGCACATTGTTGCCATTGCTGCCGAAGATTGGTCTCGCTCTTATTTTCTCTCTATTCGACTCTCTCTCTCTCACTCTGCATGCAACTCTCAGCAGAGTTGAATAAATACCAGCCATTTTATAAATGCTTTTTTCATATTATATTTATAGCTTTTTTTGCACACAAAACGCGCTTCTATTCAACTTGAAAATTCGACTAGATTTTATTTTATTTTTACCTTCGGCATTTTCTTGCTATTTTATTGTAAATGATATCTGAACTATTCCGTTTGACCGTTTTCAAGAACGTTCCTTGTTTCCTCTATCTCTATCCCTCTCTCACTCTTTCTCTTTAAAATGCCTGGAAAATTCACAATCAGACGCGAATCCAAGTGAAACGAAAATATAAATAATTATACATGTGAAAAAAGTCGCTATATTTTATGGCATTTCCATTCAAATAGCAACAAATAACTCAACAATTAAACACATATATACATATCAAAAGGTGCAGACAAAAAAGGCATTCCAAGGCACAAAGTCACTAAACAATCGCTCGCAAGAAATGAACCTTCGTTCATAAAACAGTGTAAATAAACCTACAGATGGACAGATGTTGCGCTTCTATATATTGTACATAATACCGATATTCTCTCTTGTATTATTATTCGTAATTATCGATGGCACCTTCCTGATCAATAAAACACTGTTCTGATTTTTTCCCCTTCATTTCGAATGTTTTTTTTCTGTTTTTCTCTTGGCTAAATTCAGCTGGCCGTTTTTTGTGGATGCGCTGCTACTGACATTACCTTTTTTGTACTTAATTTAACGCTTGAGCCTGACTTGCTTCTTTTGAATCGGTGCCGTGATGATGGAGGTAATTAGACGATTTAAATTACAACACAATTCAAGTTATTGTGTGGCGTTCGAAAAGTTGAATCTTTTTCACATGAAAAATGCCATGGTTTTGTTTCACAAACAAAATAAATCGATACGCATCACAAAAAAAAATGTTTTTTTTGCCATCAACAATGGCTTCAGTCGTATGATGACGACAACAACATTCCGTAGAGAAAAAATCTTCAAAAATCTACACAAAATTTGCTATTCACCGAACAAACCTATCGCAGCGACACAAACACACACAGATAAAGATATGACAAGAGTTCAATAACATGTTGAATGATGCTGATTCAATGGGAGAGATAGCAAAAGCAAAATGAATATATACACAACAATCGCCCCGTTTAAATATTCATCGGTTCGCTGGTATTCTGATTAAAAAAAACATAAACGGCAACAACACAAAAACTATTTAACGCATGCATCAAGTGAGCGAACATGCTGAACAAATGAGTAAATAGACTGGAAAATGAATGCGAAATAAAATGCTATTGAATATGCTAAAGTCATCGTCTGGCACATCGTTACTCACTCGCACGTTCTCTCTCTCTCTCTATCTGTCTCTTACTCTATCGCTGTGTCGCTCGCTCTTTTTAATGCTCGTATTCAATGGTAAAATAACAAAACTAGAGTTGCTTTTTTTATTTGAGAAAAAACACATACGAGGGTTGCTCCATAATTTTTTTTAAAAACATATATAACACAGT